AACCCGCCACCTTAGGTGTATGTGGCTGGCGCCTTAGCCAGTTGAGCCACAGGCGCCGAGCCAAGTTAAAAGAATTTTTTTTCTTTTTTTTGTTTTTGAGGCAGGTGCCTCCAGCTGTCCCCCTGGGTAGAGTGCTGTGGCATCACAGCTCATAGCAATCTCCAACTCCTGGGCTCAAGCGAGTCTCCTGCCTCAGCCTCCCGAGCAGCTGGGACCACAGGCACCCGCCACAACGTCTGGCTATTTTTTGGTTGCAGCTGTCATTGTTTGGCGGCCCAGGCTGGATTCGAACCCACCACCTTGGGTGTATGTGGCTGGCACCTTAGCCATCTTGAGCCACAGGCGCTGAGCCAAGTTAAAAGAATTTTAAGGAAAATATCTAAATAGTAAGAAAAAAAAAATAAAGAAGAGGAAGAGAAACCTGAGATAGCCTGCTCAGTCCCCTAGCCTAATGACACCCTGTGCCCTCTTCACGACTCTTCAGAGAATCCTCACTAGCAAGAAAGCTATCACTATGGCTTGGTGCCCATAGCTCAGTGGCTAGTGTGCTGGCCACATGCACCAGGGCTGGTGGGTTCGAACCCAGCCTGGGCCTGCTACACAACAATGACTACAATAACAAAAGCTGGGCTTGGCGCCTGTGGCTCAACTGGCTAAGGCACCAGCCATATACACCTAAGGTGGCAGGTTTGAATCCAGCCTGGGCTCACCAAACAATGATGGCTACAACAAAAAAAATAACCGGACATTGTGGCAGGCACCTGTAGTTCTAGGTACTTGGGAGGCTGTGGCAGGAGACTCGCTTGAGCCCAGGAGTTGGAGGTTGCTGTGAGCTATGATGCCACGGTACTCTACCCAGGGGGACAGCTTGAGGCTCTGTCTCAAAAAAAAGCCGGGTATTGTGGCAGATGCCTGTAGTCCCAGCAACTGGAAGGCTGAGGTAAAAGAATCACTTAAGCCTAAGAGTTTGACCCAGTTTCAGGTATAAATAACAGAAAACAGACTAATTTACTGTACACTGCCATTTATCCATAAGCAAATGTTGGCTCACACAAAATGAACAAAGGGCAAATAGATTAATGAAAAGATGGCCAGGCATGGTGGCTCATTCCTGTAATCGCAGCACTTTGGGAGACTAAGGTAGGGGGTGTTGATTGAGGCCAGGAGTTTGAGTTTGAGACCAGCCTTGGAAACAGCAAGATGCTATATTCTTTTTTTTTTTTTTTTTAGAGACACAGTCTCACTCTGTGCCCTTGGTAGAGTGCTTTGGTGTCACAGCTCACAGCAACCTCTAACTCTTAGGCTTAAGTAATTCTCTTGCCTCAGCCTCCCAAGTAGTTGGGACCACAGACACCTGCCACAACGCCCAGCTATTTTGGTTGCAGTTGTCATTGTTGTTTAGCAGGCCCAGTCCATGCTCGAACCCACCAACCTCAGTGTATGTGGCAGCCACCCTACTTGCTCAGCTACGGGTGCCAAGCCAGCAAAATGCTATATTCTATAAAAAACACAAAACTTCGCCAGGCATAGTAGTGCATACCTGTAGTTCAGGTACTCAGGAGGCTGAAGCAGAAGAATCACTTAGCCCAGGAGTTTGAGGTTGCTGTGGGCTAGGTTGAAGCCATCACACTCTAGCCCAGATGACAGAGCAACTCTGTGTCAAAAACAAACAAACAAAAAAGCCAAAGAAAGAAAGATACCCATAAAACATTCTTCTCACTTTTTTTTTAGTGAAATTGACTTTCTGAAAAAATCCAGGCCAGTTATCCTGTAGAATGTCCCATTGTCTCTTTGTGTTATGTAACTCGTTCTTCTGCTGTCTAATATAGTAGTCATTAACCATATGCAACTTTTTAAATTCAAATTTAAGTTAATTAAAATGAAATTAAATTTTCAATAGGTTGGTGGTTACCGAATTGGACAGTGCAGATACAGAACATTTTCATTATTGCAAAGTTTTATTTCATTAGAGATAGGATCTCACTGTTTCCTAGACTCAGAAAGTTCTAGGCCAGGCATGGTGGCTTATGCCTATAATGCTAGCATTACGAGAGGCCAAGGCAGGAGGAGCCCTTAAGCTCAGGCATTTGAGACCAGCCTGAGCAAAAGGGAGACCCCATCTTTACTGAAAATAGAAAAACTGGCTGGGCATATGGGCAGCACCTATAGACCCAACTACTCAGGAGACTAGGGCAGAGGATCATTTTAACCCAAGAGTTTGAGGTTGCTGTAAGCTATGACACCACTGCACTGTAGCCTGGTGCAACAGAGTGAGACCCGACTCAAAAAAAATAAAAAAAGAAGGTTCTATTGGACAATGCTTTAAAACCTATTATTTCATGCAAACTGGAAATAGCTCTACAGGCTTGATTAGATTGGGTTAAACATTTTTTGGAAACACATTTAATGACATTACATCCTTCTCATTACATCACATTGGAGCCACTTGAGGTGGGAATGTCTTGCTATTATGCTGAGTTTGATTGCTTGGTTAGGGTGGGAATTGAAGATACCACGTAGTGCCATACTTATTATGGCATTTGGCATTTCCTCATTCAATTAGGTCCTCATCCTGAACCATACTCTGTTTTAGTATTTGAAATAATAAGAGGGCAGCACCTGTGGCTCAGTGAGTAGGGCGCCGGCCCCATATACTGGGGGTGGAAGGTTCAAACCTGGCCTTGGCCAAACTGAAGCGTTGTCATGGGTGCCTGTAGTCCCAGCTACTTGAGAGGCTGAGGCAAGAGAATCACCTAAGCCTAATAGCTGGAGGTTGCTGTGAACTGTGACACCATGGCACCACACTGAGGGTGATGGATTGAGACTCTGTCTCTAAAAAAAAAATTAAAAATAAAGAAATAAGGATAATATATACATATATCTGTATTATATATATACATATATATATATATATATTTTGAGACAGAGTCTCAGGCTAGAGTGATGGGGCTAGAGTGCTGTGCTGTCATAGCTCACAGCAACCTCAAACTCTCAAATTCCTGGACTCTAGGTATCCTTTTGCCTCAGCCTCCCAAGTAGCTGGGATTATAGGTGCCTGCCATGACACCTGGCTAATTTTTCTATTTTTAGTAGAGATAAAGGTCTCCTGCTCAGGCTGGTCTCTAACACTGAAGCTCAAGCAATCCACCTACCTTGACATCCCAGAGTGCTAGGATTACAGTGAGCCACCACACCTGACCTAATTTTTTTTTTTATTCCTACTCAGGCTGAGAAATCATTTTTGCTTTTTTTCTTTCTTTTTGAGACAGAGTCTCACTAAGTCATCCTTGGTAGACAGCTGTGGCATTACAGCTCACAGCAACCTCCAACTCCCAGGCTC